TGATACGACGAACTATGGCTGTTGATGCGAGTTTTGTTCGATCACTGTCGGCTATCACCAACTTGATTCTTTTAGTTTCAAATCTATTTAAAAACAAAAATAATTGTATATTTTTTGGATTTGGGTTTGTTACAAAAAAATTGTTACATGGTTTTGTATTGTAGAAAAAAATGTTATGTTTACCCTTCCAAGCAATGAGCAGCTGTAAGAATGTGTTTGCGCGTGATTAAACTTCCTGCGCAATAAAAGTTACCTTGTTTGGTCATACTGACCAACCATGGGTATTCGAAAACACTTGTTTCGTTGCCACCTACTATTCTTGTTTTTCTACCGATTCCACAAACTGAAATATAACAATGAATGTTTATTCATTAGATTGATTAGGAAGTAATTTCGTTTTTTTTTTTCAATGATAAATAAGTGCTATTATAATTTTTTCATATTTAGAATCAAAAATGTTTTAAATGGTCTCGTGAACGTTAGAATTTGATTAAAACAAAAAAGAATATTTATAATTTATTTTTGTTTTGTTTAAGTATGTGTTATAATTACCACAATCGTTACAAACGTTAGGTCTTTTTGATGGGATTCTATTTGATGGATCATAGTCAATGTAAGATGTATCATCTATTGACGAGATCCTACTATACCCAGTGTTCCTTCCATTAACATGCATTTGAACATTTGTTGTAGTACCCAATGTGCTTCTATCGTTCTGTAACATCTGTAACGAGACCAAACGATCTATCGCATAATTAATAGAATTATAACATTTTGTTTATCATTCATATTTACATTGGCAATTGTTCTAAAAAGAATTCACTTTAAAAATTAATTTGTCTTAAATTATTCTAATAATTTTTAAAACAAATATTTATTCAAATATTATCCTTCATACTTAAATCAAAAATTATTCTAATTTTAAACAATAAATTACTTAAAATTGTTCCATTAATTTGTAGAACAAACATTTATTCAAATATTATCATTCATATTTAAATCGACACTTGTTCTAATTTTAAAAAGTTAATTGTTTAAAATTATTTTAATAACTTTTCAAACACAAACATTCATTCAAATATTATCATTCATATTTACATCGACAATTATTCTAAAAAAAAAAATTCACTATAAACATTAATTTGCTTAAAATTATTCTAATAATTTTTAAAATAAACACTTATTCAAATATTATCATTCACTTTCATAATCACTTTCACATAATCATACATTTATTGAGTAATATTTATGAAATCTTTAATTCGAAATAATAACTGAAGAACAGCAACAAGTAGTTGTTATAAATACATATGAGAAAAAAATAAGGTAAAAGAAAGATAAATATATACAAAGATGGATAAAACCTCAAATCATGTAAATGAATAAGAAATAAGATAAAAAAAACCAAAGTGCTTATTAAGCTGACCCGAAACGAAGTTAAATTAAATTAAGATTTAAGATGAAGATAGTGAAAGGATGTAAAAGTGAAAATGGATGAAAGTAAAGTAGAGTAAAAATTAAAAAAAAAAAAAAAAATAAAAAACAAACAAGGATCACTTAAATCACTTACCACACGTGGCAAAGCGTAAACGTAAGAGTGTAGACAGAACAGGAGCATGATTTTGCATGGTATTTTCGCGTGACAATCCATAATTATTTTTTTTTTTAAATCTAGATTTAGATCTAATCTATATATACATATATATGTGTATGAGTGTGTGTGTGTGTATAAATATATGTATATAAGTTTTCTGTGTGAAACACGCCCGTTGAGCGTGAAATCGCGTTAAAAGATTCGCGTAAAAAGGGCACGTCAGTGTTGACTGTATTTGCGTGCTTATGCCAGGTGTGAAAAGGTATTAAAGGTGTCGTCGAAGTTTTGCCGTTTTATACTAAATTATAACTAATGAAGCATGGCTTTAAGTGGGGATCGACAGCCTTGAATGCTGCGTTTGCATTGGCAGATGTTGCATGTGACAGCTTTTAAATCACCGGGCTCAACTGGTGCGGCATCGTCTCACCTGCGCCACTCATCCTCGAACTCTCATACTTCGCTTATGAGACGCGAAAAAATGTTTTCTACGTAGACGATATGTAAGTAAGTATATGATGGTGTATTACTTACCTCTTCGTCTCATCATCGTGATGGCGCAATACTATCTTTTACCATCAACTACAATCGGCTAACGACCAATGTCAAACAATCACTTATTCTTTTTCTTCTTCTTCTTCTTCTTTTATTTTCTCTTTTTCTTTTCCTATTATTTTCCATTCTTATTTCTCAGGGTTTTACACGAGACTGGATCAATGTCAATTTCGTCAGAGACGACGCCAAGATCGCGAAAGTTAAGCCCTATGTTATTTCGTTTCATTAACAACTGTAAGAATGTTCGTTGTTTTTTTTTTTGGTTGTTTCTATTTTTTTTTTTTTCGTGAATTATTATCTTATATATTTTGTAAAGATATTTTTTTTATTAATTTATATATTTTATAGCAGTGAGATATTTTTTTATCTCAATTTTCTGTTGTAGTTTATTTAATACTGCAAATTATTTGACACGTGTATTTAATTTAGGTATGTTTTTATCTTTTTAAGTATTTAAATTTATTTGTATACTTGCAGTTTTTATTTTTTTTTTTTCGTAAATTATTATTTTATATATTTAGTAGGAATATTTTTTTTTTTATTAATTTATATATTTTTTAACAGTGAAATATTTTTTTATCTCAATTTTCTGTTGTAGTTTATTTAATACTGCAAATTATTTGACACGTGTATTTAATTAAGGTATGTTTTTATCTTTTTAAGTATTTAAATTTACTTGTACACCTTGTATCTATTTTTTTATATATACCTATAGTCTTTTACCGTATTTGATATTTTTTTCTTTCGTTGAATATCTGTATAGAAATAGTAGAATGTTTGTTTTGAATTTTATTTAATAAAATGTATAATAAAAATATTATCTTTTATTGACAGTTCATATTAATTCAAAAATTAATTCAATAAATTAGATTATTAATTCATAAAGAGATAATATTGCATTTGTTTTTATTTTTTCATAAATATTAATATTTTATCAAATTACGAATGTTGAGAAAGATGACGATCAAGGAAGAGAGAGTGAACATTGGAAATTTCCATCGAAGATAATTCTCTTTCTTATGGTGTAAATGAAGTACCTACTTAAACATTGTATAACTTTCCATATATGGAACTTCGGCACGCATCAGAGAGACATCTCGCGTGTACGTATTTACAGTTGTTGCAGTGATTTCACTTTCACTTGCAAATTATTTTCTTCCTTTGGATTCGATAAGCGAGTCGAGATGATGATAGCAAGGAAGAAAACAAAATAATTAATTTTCGATCGCGATTTTATTCTTACAAAAGAAAAATAACTCTCGAAAGATATTATTATTATTATTATTATTATTATTATTATTATTCAAGAAACTTTCTTACTCGTAAGGAACTTGTCGGACAATGAAATATAACGATGAAATTTTACGACAGTCAAAAGACATTAAGTTGACGATGATTTGGGTCGAGTTTCCCTTGCAATGCAACGATTATCACAAACTCATTGAATTCATTTTCTGAATATGTAACGTATATTTTCGTCAACATAAATTTCCGTGTCACGTGTGTCAGTCATGTATGGAAACGTTGAAAGTGAAATGACAGACAGAGTCGACGCAAAACTGAAATAAATCAATCAATAAATTTACATATGAACAAAGAATAATTTTTTATACTGTAATATCAGATTGCAATGAATTTATTTAAACAAAAAAAATATATTTTATTTCTGTTTATCATTTAATTATTCAATCTAATAGATATTTCCTTCTGAACAGCAATTTTTGGGGAATTTGATTCTCACGATTTTTAATTCCATGACCATGTGTTTAAAAAAAAAAGTGTTCATAAATATTTGATCTTAGATATGATCAGATCTTATTAAGATGAATATATTATAAATAAGGCGAGGCTCCCCTGATAAAATGGAAACGTCTAAACAATAAAATAAGGTGTATCGCCCGCATGAGGGTGTTATGACCCACATACCTTGACCCACTGGCACGCGTTACAGGTGGGGCACAGTCATCCGTTCTGACGCATCTTATCTCGGGTACTTTGTTTAAACCGGAGTTCTGATAAGGTAGTAAGGTAGATTGTACGTAAAGCTGTTACGACCTTCTTGGCTATCGAAGATTAACGAGCGAGAAAGGACGAAGGCGTGCTCGTTTTTACGCTCGGTCAGATCGATCTCAAACTTGAACGTGTTCCATTTCGTTTTGTTTCTTTCCTTGTACAGATGTACGAAATGAAATTAAATAAATAAATCAAATAAAATATGCAAAAAAAAAATAACAGACGGGCCTACCTAATAAAGGAAGACGGCCTATTTTTTAATAGGAATAATAATAAAAAAAAAATGTAGTAAAAAAAAAAATAAGTAGAGAAACCAGAAGCAATGAACGATTATAGTAGCTCGTCATCTGGGTCACTGGTCCCTAGGTAAGTTTTTTTTCCTCTATCTATCTTCGTCGTCTTAGAGAGAAATCAAGAAGAAATCATGGCGAATCTTGAAGAGATTTAAATTTTATTAATCACACATAACCGTACGGGTACTACTATCTCTGTCCAGTTAGTTTACGCTAAATTAACATACGTGTAGCCTAAATTTCTCACTCCTGCCACTCGTCCATCCAGTATTCCGTATAAATAAAGTTGTGAGACGGAAGTCGAGTCTTGTGTGAAAGTTTGCTCTGTAGTGTACGCTTGAAACCCATTGGCAGGTATCGATTCGAGCTTATAGGCATATATATATGTATTAAAAGTTCTTATTGTATTGTGTATGTTTAATATAAAGTATACCGAAATATAATAGTGATCGGTTTGTTTGTGTGTGTGTCTTGTGAATTAAATGGTGCAAGGGATAATAATGTACGTCAGGATTTTATTCGTTGCAATATCGGTTGGGGTGTTTGTTATGGCATCCGATAACGAGGTATGTAGGATTTATGTAAATATCATTTTTAAATGATAACATTAGTTTTGTATTAATGTTATGAAATTATTTCTATAGACAAGATCAACGTTACCTAATGAGACATTCAATTTTGCAACGAAGGATACAAATATCACTGATGATAAAGGATTTTTGAATTGGTTTTACGCTTTAATTGGCAAACCAATACCAACCGCTACACCAATACCAGAAATTATTGAACCTCAGAAATGTTCTTCGTGTGGTACGTTGAAATAATTTCATCTTTAATATGTGAATTATCGTTTATTAATTAATATTGACGATGTATACAGTTATTTTATCACGTGAAAAGAAGTTTATCAATTTTTAGAATAAAATAAAGAAATAATTGTCTGTCGTTTATTTTTGTGACAAAATTAGGAATCAAAATAAAATAAAAAAATATTTATAGAATGTTTGTTAAATATTTCAATCTTTAAATCTTCAATTTCATCGAAATTGTCATCTCTTGTTTTTACTCTTGGCATCTTAAGTTTCTACTTCTGAGATCTTGTTGAAGTGTTTTAAGAAATACTGAATTATAGATGTGACCCAAAAAAATATACGATCAATGTATTGAAAATAGATTTTTTCGATGAATAACACATTTCAAATTGAACATTTTACAACAAATAATAGAACAAATAATAGAGCAAATAAATAAATTGTTAAACATACAATTGATTTCTTATGTAAATACTATAAACAATTGGATACAACATTCTTTAAATCAACCATCTATCATTTTGTAATATCATTGATCAAAAATACATAAAAATTAATTTTAATAACATTAATTTTTTTACAGTATGTGGTTTGACAAATACACAGAAACGAATAGTGGCAGGTGTTGAAACGAAAGTAAACCAATATCCGTGGATGGCATTGTTAAAATATAAGAAACGTTTTTATTGCGGTGGATCTATTATAAATTCAAGATACGTTTTAACAGCAGCTCACTGCGTTGACAGGTATGATCACGTGACTTCCTATCAAACCTAACGATCTTAACTTTTTACTTTTAATATTTAATTAATATCGGAACGATTTCTCTTATAGATTTGATCCAAGTTTAATGTCCGTAGTTCTTTTGGAACACGATCGAAATTCTACTACGGAAACTCAAATACAAGAATACAAAGTGGAACAAGTTATAAGGCATAGTGGTTATTCATTCATTAATTATAACAATGATATTGCTTTAATCAAATTGAACAGCGTTGTCGAGTTTGTAGGTTTAATGAGACCTGTTTGTTTACCAGACAAAGGTACAGTTTTAAAATTAAAAACAAACAAATTATTTACAGGGTGTATATAAACATTTATTATCAATAAACTGCAATTATCGATGATATTATTTTATATGTAATTTTATTTTCAATTATATGTATTACAAAATTCTTAAATATCATTTTTTAATTTTAAGAAAGAATTTAGTATTATGTAATTTTTATTGTGAAAGTATTAATTACCTATAATATATTATAATTATAATTAATGTAATAATTATGTAATATTACGACATTTATAATATTCTTTAGGAAAAACGTATGCCGATTCGATTGGTATCGTTACTGGATGGGGTGCTGTTAAAGAATCAGGACCCGTTTCCAACACTTTGCAAGAAGTTATGGTTCCCATTCTCACTAATACTCAGTGCCGTTCATTGAACTATCCATCAAGAAGAATCACTGATAATATGATATGTGCTGGATACGCGCAAGGAGAGAAGGATTCTTGTCAAGTATATCAAAAATCTTTTGATTGATCATTCTAATCAATCATCGATCAAAAATTTATTATATTGCAAATGTTTTAGGGCGATAGTGGAGGTCCGTTACATGTAGTTAATGATTCTGTTCATCAAGTCGTTGGTAAAAATTCTGTTTAATTTTATTACACATCATATTATTATTAATTTTATTTAATTAATTTTTTCATAAATTATTAAGGTATAGTCTCATGGGGTGAAGGATGTGCACAACCCAAATATCCAGGAGTTTACACTCGAGTAAATCGATACCTTACATGGATTTTACGTAACACGGCAGACAGTTGTTATTGCTGACATACAAATATTAATGATCGAAAGAGACTGAGATCAAAATAATTTAAAATGACCCTAATACTTGCATAAATGATACTCAATAATACTGGACATGACGTTACAGTCAAACAACAGAACAGTTACTAATTATTTATTCATTTATTTATATTAAATTATTTTTTACATTTGTACAACAAAGAAAAAAAAATATCGATATTTATATTATTATAAACAATGAATTATCTTTAATCATTTTCTTATATAAATTCCCGATTGTGCGTATGTGTGTGTGTGAGTGAATGATAGGTTAAAGATTACTGTAAAAAAAAAAATGTTGATTTAAGAATAGGAAATGAAATAGTGATCGAAACGGATCAGTTTGTTGTGTGTAAAGTAGATAACATTAGTACAGGGGTCTCATGTATATATATATAAGAAATCTCACACATTGAAAGAGCATGTAAAAGGAAGTTAGTTGGGCGTGCGCGCGTTCGTGCCGGGACAGTGGCTACGTAGTAAACATGGCCGCGGAGAGCAGCGAAGGTTTGCCAATATCTCCGTCCGAGAAATCGTTGTCCGGTAGTTTAGTGTCCGATGAAAATGAAAAAACCGTGTCCCGTTCGCCATCGAGTTATTCCATACGAGAAGATAAATGGCCAGATTTGGTAGTGTCAAGACCTAAAAAATTGGACGCCTGGTGGTCGCCGAGACGTAAGTACAAACAACATCATACAAAACAAAAGTTAAACGATGCTAGCGCTATCTTCTTTTTCTTACGATCATGCGCTGCCAACTTATTCAATTTTGGCGCGCTTTTTAAAAATTACACACACCTAACACTATATATAATCCTACGTTTATTTAAAAAAAAAAAAATAAAGTTCGCTTGTATTATGTCGAACGTGATATGATTGTTTATAATAATTTTTATCTGATGTTAAAAAAAATTTTTTTCAAATATTTGTAAAGGTTAACTTTCTAAAAGTTCATACTTTAAATAGAACATTTATAAATTTGTGATTATGCAAATAATTTTGAGATAATATTAATGATATTTATAGTTACGAAATTCGTTTGAATTCTTATCGTTTAATTTGAGATAAGTTTTAATGGGTGGAAGGTCATTAACTTTGACCACGCGTTGAAGTCTCTTTACCGATCGGTTAGACCGCTTATATACAGTCACGTGTAATAAGAGAGAGAATCGTCGAGAGATGTCGCTCCGTGTGCTATCGCAAACTATCGATTATCGTAGGTGGAGGCAACGTCGGCGGGAAAATCAATATCCCTTACTACGCGCCGGCGAATACGCCATTTCTATCGTCAAATGAACGCTGCTATCGACCTAACGTGTCTACTACACCAAACGCGTTCGACAGTTTAGACGTTGTTTATTGTTTAACAGTACACCTTTACGGTACATTCGATAAAACGTTTTAAACGGAGAGTTCGAATAAAAAAAAAAGAAAGCAAAGTAAAGAAAAGAAGAAAACAGTTACGATGTTGTTACGATATTATCGAGAATTAAATAACACCTTTATGATTATTCGCAATGATGTTTCCATACGTGGTGGAACATTTGTTTAATTAAACGACGTAATACGAGATAATCATCTGTACTTATTTGTCTCAACTTGGACCGATTTAAGAGACATCTGAGGGAATAAGAAGAAAAAAAGATTAGAAAAAGGGGCACAGAGAAAAATCGCATAATCGTCTGCATTGCGGATTAATTTGGTAATATCGAATCTTGATTGGTTAGTGATTCGATCGATAAAGTGTTGAGAGGTTGTCATCGATTGGAAGAGAAGGAGAGAAAAGAGCAATAAACAAAATATAAAAAGCTAGAGTTTTAAGAGATCTTCTATGCGGCAAGAACCCCAGAGCGGCTTGAAAACGCGACCTCCGGTCGATCACGGTGGTCTTCATCACGGCGGGGTCATGCTCGAGGAGGACATGGCCGGTGCCCAGGACACAATTTACCTTTGCAATTTTCGGGTGTCCGTTGACGGCGAGTGGCTCTGTTTGAAGGAACTACACGACGTCGAGTTTTCATTGCAAGACTCGATACAACGTTCACCTTCGCCACCTTTACCTTTAAGTGGTATTGATCATCCTCCTCATCGTCGTCGGCAACAGCTGTTACCCGAGCAGCGGGATTTTCGCGATGCATTGCCGCCAAGTCCACCGCCGCCATTGCGTCACGTCTCAAGCTTGTGTCTGTACTCTTCTGCTTCTTCTTCTTCTTCTTCTTTCCATCTTTTTAATTCCTTCCTATCCTTTCATCATATAGGACCTATGATCCTTAATCCTTTCATCCTTTGATACATATCTTCAGCTGTATTTATTATTCGATATTTTGTTCATTCTTTTTTGTACTTGGAAGTGATCAAGTTGTTTTGTGTATTTGGATTTTATCAGAGGATTATTTTGTATTTAGAATATGATTCACACCACCAGCACGTGGGCGAGTTTATTTTCTATCGATTCTGTACGCTTTTATTATATGTTTCGTATTTTTTGTTGTTTTTATTTTCTACATGGTTTTGCTTTTACGATATATTATTATCGTCTTTACATATTAAACGTACCTTTTGAAACTGGAGTCACGCGAACATTCTGTTTAAGTCAGCGAATGCACACTATGCTTGCACGTATTTTTCTGCATTTCGCATGAATTCGAATCTCACGATCACGATTATTTCTTATCTAAATTTTGTCTTCATCAAAATTTATCTAAATCTATATTCGTCATTCGCTTATGCGCCTAAAGCTTCTTGCTTTTTCAAAATATTTTGTGAATCACAATTGGCAAATCGAAAATGAACAAATAAAAAAAAAAAAACTTGAGAGAAAGGGAAAAATATAAAAGTAAAAACTTGAGACATTGAAAATTGATGAAAGATGAAAACGGAAGAAATATTTTTGCAGCACGAGATCCTGTTATCATCGAAAGGAGTAATCTTGTTAACATTTCTAAATTGATCGTGAAAGAGCTCATCGAAACTTCATTGAAATATGGCCGCATGCTCGATTCGGATCACATGCCATTGCAACATTTCTTCATCGTTTTAGAACACGTACTGAGGCATGGTTTACGACCGAAGAAGGTAAAGGATCGTTATAAAATACAAAAAAAAAAAAACAAACAAACAATAAAAAACAAAAACAAACATACATCGAAGTATTGATCGTATTGATCAATTAATCGACGAATTCAACTTCGATTGCAGGGTTTACTTGGACCCAAGAAGGAGCTTTGGGACATCCTTCAACTTGTGGAGAAATACTGTTCAGAAGCACAAGATATTACATCCAGTATTCGCGACTTGCCGACGGTTAGGTACTACGCGTTTCATTTGTTTTATTTATCTGTTTTATCGTATATTCATAATTCGCGCCATATTTCATAGGAATATGCAGTGATGTTTTCAAATATTGCTGAGAAAAAATCAGGTTTAAATCATTTGAACTTTTAAGTCATGATTCTTCATAATTTGTTATAGTGATATATGATACATTTTTTATGACAATTATTATGAATTTTAAGGATTCAATTTTAAAATAAAAATTGAATGTATAGGGAAACAAACAATGATTAATTGCTAACTAACATTTTATTAGTTTGAAATATTTTAATTGCTAACAACTAGATAGATAGATAGATAGATACATTTTACTGCTTCCCCGAAGGGTTTTACACTCCTTTTACAATTATATCCTTAACCTATCTTAACACTACTCTCTCCCTCACTTCTCCCTTCTTCTCCTTCCCCTTCACCCGTTCCACACCTCCGCTTCTATCTCCCTCAATCCCAACCTTGTCCCTCCTTCCCCTCTCTTATACTCCCAATCCTTTTCATCCACTCCTCCCCCATTCCACTCTCGTCCAAAATCTCTTTTATCTTCTCTTCTTCTCCTCTCCCGTCCTCCTCACCTATCGTTCTGATGCAGCCTTCCAACACATGCTCCCACGTCTCTCTCCCATCCACACACCCTGCATCGTCTCCTCTCCTCCTCCTCCTCCCCCCAGTATCTCCCTTCCCTCATCTCATTCCCTAATCTGAACCTCGTCACTCTTCTTTTCCTCTCTTCACTCCACTTGCCTTCCCAATATTTTGGTAACCCTTTCGCTACGATTAGCTTGTACCATTCATTATATCTGGAGGTTTGTATTCTCTCCAACCTTTCATCCTCCTGCCGCCTTCTTTCCTCCTTCTCAATCTCTTTCCACCTTTCAACAACCTCCTCCCTGTCCTGCGCTATCCTCTTCCTAAACCTTTTCCTCTCTTCTTCCCATTTTGACATCTCCACTTCATCCCCCTTTTCTCTCTCCTGCGCCTCCTTCCAACATTCTCTCGCCAATTCACTTTCCTCTCCTCTCCTTAACTTCTTCTTATACTTCCACGCTCTCTTCGCTGCTCTTGTTCACAATTTATCTCTTTTTCCTTCTTCTCTTACCATGTACCCTGGTGTCCTCCAGTCTACTCTCAATGTCCACCTCAAGAACCTTTCCTGTACCCAATTGCTAATAACAATTTTTTTAAAGTAAGTTTAAAAAATTTAATTTTAAAGTATAATATAAATATTTAAAAATTCAAATAAATTGGTAATGAATACTTTAATTATTTACAATTATTTTAATTAAAATCTCATAAAGTTTTAGTAAAGAAAGTTTTTAAAGTAAAAATCCTAAAGATTCAATTTTATAATAAAAATTAAATATATAAGCAAAACAATTATAAATTGCTAGCTAACATTTTATTGGTTTTCAATATATTTTAATTGCTAATTACTATTTTTCTAAAGTAAGTTTAAAAAATTTAATTTTAAAGTATAATATAAATATTACAAAAATACAAATTAATTGGTAATGAACATTTAAATTATTTACAATTATATTGATTAAACTATAAATACTAATAATTTAATATATATAAAATAATATATATATTTATAAAAAATATATAAAACAATATATTAATTACTAATTAATATGTATTAATAAATTTAGTAAAGTAAAAACTTAGGGATGATTTAAATTTTTCAACAAAATTAACAATGTTACTTTCTTCGTTTTGAAATCATTTGAATCATTGCATATTCCTATTGTTCGGGTTCGATCATTTTTCAGAGCATCATTATTTTCAGAACTGCCATGGGTCGGGCACGTGCCTGGCTTCGAATGGCACTCATGCAAAAGAAGTTAGCAGACTACCTAAAGGTTTTAATCGATCACAAGGATGACATTTTGTCTGAATATTTCGAACCAGATGCTTTGATGATGAGCGAGGAAGCTATTGTGGTAATGGGCTTGTTAGTGGGTTTGAATGTGATCGATTGCAATTTCTGCGTAAAGGTCAGTTCATAAAAAAACTAAGCAAATCAAATCAAATCAAATCAAATGAAAACAATGTTCAATGAAACAATTATAAAATTGAATTAACATAACAAATTCTTCGTGATAGGAAGAAGATCTCGATTGTCAACAAGGTGTGATCGATTTTTCGTTATATTTACGTAATAGCAATCATATACCTGGAGAATCACCTGATGACGAGCTCGAAAATGACAACATGACAACTGTCCTTGATCAAAAGAATTACATCGAGGAACTTAATAGACACTTAAAGTAAAACACTAATTTATTGATTTTTCTCATCAAATATCAAATGAGAAAATAGAAAATAAAAATGAATCGAAATATTTTTAGCGCAACTGTGACGAATCTCCAAGCAAAACTTGAATCTCTAACTACTACTAATGCACTCATGAAAGAAGACTTATCTATCGCTAAGAATAATTATTTATCGTTGCAAGAAGAGAACAGACAACTTAAAAAAGAATTAGGCATAGAAATTAAAGATGCTAATGAGGTATATATATATATATATATTTCTTTAGTTTGTTAAGTTGTAGATGAAGATTTAGTTGTATTAGGAATTAGTAGAAAGATTTGGTTATTTGATGTATTATTTTAGAATGGCAAGGCTCCTATTAAAATAACCGAAACTACAACGGAAATCGAAGAACTTCGAAGTAGACTCGAAACTGAGAGAAAATTGCGACAAGACACGGAAAAGGAATTACAATTACAGGTTTAATTTTTTCGTTTGTTTTGATCTTTATTTAACAAAAGAATGAAGAAGTTAGTTGTTAATTGTTAATAATTCGAATCGAATTATTATACAAATAGATAAGTATGAAGTCCGAGATGGAGGTGGCGATGAAATTGTTAGAAAAAGACATCCACGAGAAGCAGGATACCATAATATCACTTAGGCAACAACTAGACGACATCAAACTGATCAACTTGGAGATGTACAAAAAATTACAGGTGATTCGAATCCTTTTTTCGGAATTGAAATTATTTCATTTACATGTTGATATACTTTTTTTTTTTTTTACTAATCAAAACGTAACTAATCCTTGCAACGTGAATTTAGAAAAACAAACAACATCTTTAACAATTCATTTATTAAATATATCATCGTCATCGCGAACGTGTAGAGAAGAAGAAATTAGTTGTATGATGCAACACACATGCTCAGCACATGCATATATGCACACATATGAGATTTTTCCTTGTTATTTTTTTTTTTGTTTGATTTATTTTACGAGGGAATAGTAATGCTTGGTAATGAGGATAAGTAGAAACGAAAGAGTGCAATGTTTGAAATTAAAGTTTAAGTTTAGTTGTTTATTTCTTTGGACAGTCTAATATTATTTTTGTTTAACTCACGTTTCAGATTTTATCAGGTACAGGGGAGTGATACGAAGTGGTGTCAAAGCCCAAAAATACTCGCGAGCACTTTAGGCCTTTTGTTGTTAATTTTCGTTCTGTGAAAAAAAGAAAAGAAGCGTTTAGAGAACACAAGCTTAAATATCTATTCTCTGTTTTTTTTGGATGTGTTTCTTCCCTTGTAGGAATGCGAGCACGAGCTGACGCAGAAAGGTGAGATGGTGAGCCGTCTACACGCGAAGACCAATCAAATCGGCAAGATATTGAATAATCTCGAGAAGTACAATCATCTAATGAAGGATGGAGATAATATACGTACTCCAACAACACCCTGTAACGCATCCAAATCGATTTTAAACAAAAATAGTCCAACCTCGCCTAGAGGTTGTACGGCATACGGAACGGAAAATCATCATCAGATCGATCGAACGTCATGCGATCATTTGCAACGTAACGTTGATAATAAAAGGGCTAAAGAATCATGTGAAAAATCTAAAAGAAGTAAATCCAACGACGATGTTACGGTAACCAATGTTATCAATGACAAAAAAGCATCTTAAAGGAATTAAACAATTATTAATTATTCTGGTCAATTTACATATTAGCAAAGTCTAATTGTTAGAAAACAACAACACAACAACCAAAAATTTCTTACGTCTTTTTCTACGACGTAAAACGTGATAATTTTCAAATGAAGTTAACTTCATCGCAACTTCGATTGTTATTCTCGCTTATTTTTAGAGAAGAAACGTCGTTTTTCCTATATGCGCTCCTTTCTACGCATACGTTATCATTGATTATCATAAATATATAATACTAATAATAATAATAATAATAATAATTACATATATCGCTCGACGTTCGATCGTGAGCAACGATTTCGAGAAAAAGTTTGTACTTTTTCGAAACAAAAAAAAAAAACAAAACAAAGCGAACGAACTATGCGCCGAAATCATGAAAAATTGAAATCCTACGTACTCACAAAACTACGTTTATTTCGTTTACGCAGGCGCAGGATTATAAAAGGACAATAATTCCGAGAATAGAGTTTTCTCCGAGTCCCTATATTATCCTCGTATTTTTCAGAATACTAAACTAACAACCTAAACGGGGCAGATTGCGATTACTATTATCTTCTTTGCTGATTCAGATCAAACTTTCTTCTTCTTATTTAGTTTCGATCGATACCCCATTTGATTTTAATCTTTTCTTTTTTTTATTTTCTTTTTTATATTGAAGAAGCATTTATTTCAGGAATGCGAAGCTTCCCTTAAGCATAAGACAGAACTGATCAAAAAACTGGAGGCTAAAACACTCTCGATGACCGAGACATTCCAGAAACTGGATGAACAGTACGTTTGTTTGTCTTTCATTAATATTAAGATTATAATATTATAGTAGGAATTTATTCGGTTATTTTATTGATCAATTATTTTATCTTCTTTTTTTTTTTTATAAATATATTTATATTTCGTTCGCGTTGATATTTGTTAACAAATTATAAGTCTATAATAACCTTTGTTTATTCGTCAAACATTTGTGTGATAGATAAAATTAAGATAATTTAATATTAAAATATTAATTAATTAAAATTTTTGAGATTATATTAACACGTTGTTTTATAATCGAATAACCGATTTAGAAATATCGCACATTTGTGATTAATTGAGCGATTAAATAATTATAGAACATTTATTTTTTACTTAGAAATCAAGTTTAATAAGAAATATAGGTAACGTAGGTAAAAAAGAAGTATTTACACTACCTGTCAAATTCTCGTAATATCGGGGATATTGGCAAACCTTCACTAAACGGCTAACTTGATAAGACTTACCTCGGTGTGTAAAACGTATAATTAGGATTATCGTAATATAATATGACACACACACAAATATAAATATATTATATAATAATAATAATAATAATAATGTTTTTCGCAATAATCAAGTAGATTTATACCCAATTAGGCGATTTCATTGGAGATCATAGTAAAAAATATCATCGTTCCAATTCATCAAACTAATTGTATTGTTCATAATTCATTCATTTATTTTTTCCCCCATTTTTTTCAAAAGAAAAACAAAAATGTGTTTCTGTAGGAACTGATTTTGCGTTTGGTTCTTTCGTTATTTTTAATCTTTAGTCGATCGAGCAATAATAAAAAATAAAAAAAAATTAAGTAACGTTTGTTGCTCGAATTTTATGTATTGGCATTCATGAAACCATCGAAATTGCATCGTTTTACTTACGAATGAAATATTTTCGATGAAATGGTCAACTTTTTATTGTATAAGCATTGAGCTATGGGAGGTTGTCACGATGCACCAGAAATGCTAAGTATGCTTGTACCAATACTACGAAAACAAATAAAATCATCAAATAAAAAACCATTTGAAGTTTGTTAATCCTTAGTCGATCAAATTTTACTATTTTTTTTTTTGTATTTTGCATTTTGTTTAATTTTTTCAATAAAATTTCTTTCGTTTATTTTCGAGATATGAAGATCGTTCTACGATTATAGAAAGGTAAGTTAAAAGTATATTAAATATTAGTAATTATATATACATAGAGAAAGATAGAAAGAGAAACAAAAAGAAAAGTAGAAATGAAATCAGAGTGGATTTTAAGCCTTAAGGGCTTTTATTCTTACCGCATGAATTCAATCGTTAATTCTTGAACAAAACGTTTGGACCTCCCATATAGCTTTGAAAACAATACTTCCCTTTTTGAATAATTCCATAAAAGTAAAAGAGACAGATAGAGAGATAGAATGAATTTGAATGATGAATAACTTTGAACGTAAGATTTGAAAACTTTCTCCTTTATTATTACATTGAATCTCTGAAATAATATCATGAAAATTATTGAAATAACAAGATTACAGACTCAAATTGAGTATCCTAAAGGATTCCTCACTCTATTCTGTCACGTTAATTCACGCCCTTTCAATGCTATGCCAACCCGATATGCAGAGAAGTGATTAGTTAGACTTAAACAGTTTTAGTGGCTCCTATTGTTTTAGATCGTGGCCAATTAAACGTTCAAGTTTTAAGAAAATCCCTTCTAAATCGATGCAACTTCGTATTCCAATTTCACAGATATTTGTGTAACACCATAGTTGTCGAGTGAATTTGAATCATGGTAAATAATATAATATAACGAGAGAACGACTCGATCGTTAACCACGAACCACGAGTAGCAAAAACAGTTCCATAAATATAAAGTTAAAAAAAAAATTAAAAAAAAAAGATGAATAAAAGAGAGAATAATTTTCTCTTTTATCGGGGTCACAGTTTTAAATTACTTTCACTTTCTTTCACATGCCTCATTCATCACTATTACATTTAAGATCATTACGCGTATTCATCGTCGACATAATTACGTTTAGTTACGTTACTTGTTCCTTGAAAAAAAAAAAAAAAAAATAGAAAAAAAAGAAGAGCCAATGCTTTTAAGAATTAAGGTAAAGCTATGTGACTTAATTAGGCGCAAGGAATTGGACGGAGTTAAAGCAAGGACCGAAGAGAAGGCTAAGGTCTTAGCTGCCGAGGCTGCTGAGAGGACAGCACGAGCTAAGGATTTTGAGAGGGAATTACGTGTTGAAAGAGAATGGAGAACTTCCTTACAAGAATCATCGATCTCAAACACTGAAAGGATTTCTCAATTGCGTCAAGAAAATGATCAACTTAAACAAATATCCGAAGTACGTACGGTTAATAACAACTGTAAATTATTAAATTCGAACGAATTTAAACATACTTTTTGTTCGTTTAAAACTTCGTTTATTATAATTGCAAATAGTTTTTTAATTTTTTTTTTTCGTACATTTTTATTTAAAATAAATCAATTCGATAAAAGAGAAAATGTTGAATAAATTTATTACAGAAATACGTAACGTTGCAAGAAGAACATTACGCGTTAAAGGAAATCTGTTCGGAACAAGAAAGAACACTGGAGGAACTTGGAGTGCAGTTGAGTGCAGCGAAATTGGCGACTGTCGAATTACGCGAAGCTGCTGACAATGCTCAACGACAGTTGCAGAAAGATGGCGGCGGGACTGCATGGGCGGACGATCGACAGGTAACCCATTGCAAGGGTTGTAATCGTGAGTTCAACATCACTCGTCGTAAGGTAATCAAACTTTTTAATTACCCCCGTAGATTGATCAATTATCTACACCATTCTTCCCTTTTACTTCGATCAGTCTTCGTCGTTGTTCCTACCTCTACCCTTTTCCCTTCACATCTTCTTCAATCGGTCGTCTTACATTCGAATCGACATTTACTAAGAGATTTTACACCTTTCCTTAATCGTTCAATTATCTCGTGCGAATGTAGAAATTGCAACTTCATCCTCCAGTATTTCAAGTCTACAGTAAACAAAGTACCAGACGCTTTCACATCTCATGATCCTAAATGAAGGTAAAACGATACTACTCGTGTAACAACATTCCACTTAGAGAGGCCTTGTCAAATCGATTATGCTAATGATCTCGTTTCCAGGATGATTATTATCGAACCAGGCCTTGGAGTTCGATTCGTCTTAAAACGGGAATAACCAAACCCATTTTCGTTGTCTTTATGATGACGTTATACAGATGCCGAGAAATAACATTCTTATCGTTTTTCTACGTAGATGTATTAGTGTTGAAATGTTTTCTTCTTTTCTTTTTTTATTCTTTAATTCTTTTACTTTCTTTTTAGCATGGTCTCTCACCGTTCCTTCTCCTTCTCTTTTCCTGCTTCCATCGTAGGATACTTTTTCTTCTTAACACGAATAACGCGCCGGCACGGTATAAGCACTTAAAGTATTCACGGACGAAAGATCTGATCGTTCCGAAGTGCGGTTGCGTGCATCGATAAGGTATAGTGGTCAGGAGGGGTAAAGGGAGTGTTAGGACGAAGCCAAAGAGAAGAAGAGAGAGAAGAAATAACGAGAAGAGTCGAACCAAAAGCGAAAGAGAACGAAGGTAAATGAGAAATAGAGAGAGAGAGAGAGAGAGAGAGAGAGAGTGAGAGAAAGGTAGGCAAGCATTCGTCATACGGATAAATTCCGCGCTGAAATTTATACGCGCCAGTACCTTATCGAAATTTCGTAGACGTGCACGATAGACACGATTTACTGTAACTGCGAGCTTCTCGACACTCAACTCTAATCGTTAACAGTAGTATTCTTTAGCCCTTCAACTCACATGTTGTGATACAAAGAAATCCGATTTAGTTATCGTTGGATATTCTTTTCACGCATTTCCTCTAGTAAAAAAAAAAAAAAGAAAAGCAAAGTAAAAGAATAAAAATGAGTATGAGATATTATATAGAATAGAAATATGAACAGAGTTGATTGTAGGAGAGAGTATGATGTTAGGGGGGGTTTAATAAAAATAGCTCGAAAGTTAAGCCTGTCCTTTTGCGAAAAAAACGGGCTCATATTCCTTGGAAGAACCAGAACAACGTCCAATTACATTATTGCACCATCACCCGATTTATATTCATGATTACATGTCATGCATGCAGGTTGTGCATGCATATTCAGTCGTCAGGATGCGATAGAGACGTTGTGGCCGTTCCGTGAAATACATTTAGACTGTGTGTATTCGTATCTTTGTTTTACGAAGGTAAGGAAAAGGAGACGGTTTAACTAGGAAAGGATATTCGTTGGGTTGGACGACGATGTTGTTAGAAAGAAAGAGAGAGAGAGAGAGAGAGAGACAAAGATAGAGAGAGTAAAACGGCCCGTGGCTTGGTAGGGAAAAGGGAAGGCTCGGTAAGTTATTGCATAATAACAAGGCAGGAGTACCCGAGGCATCCTTGTTACTCATTTTTCGCGGCGTGGATGTATTACCATACTGTTTAATATAGACCATGCCAGAGCCGCGGACAAGGTTCGTCCAGATGGAATCATACCACTAGGTAGGCAAACCTTCCCTCTCCAGGGCTACCTTTACCTTCGCGAGCATCAACAATAGGATGGTGAGAGAGATAGTTGCCACCTCTTCCTATGTTTATACATCTCTCTCTTTTTCTTGCTTTCTTTTTCTTTTTCTGACCCTTGAGGTGTTAGTCCTTACCAGGAAGTTCTATGAAAAACCATGGAGTTAGATGCAAGCTCGCGTACTTGCACATGCAAAGGCATGCAAAACAATGACCCAGCCCTCCCGTCGTACATTTCTGTCCGGTACCGTTACCTTTGCTCGAAAGCTTCTCAACCAACCTCACCCTTTTCCGGAATTTTTCTCCCCCCCACTCCTCCGTACTTTCACGGATCTTATTTTTACGTACAAATTTTTCTTCTTCTTCCTCTTCTTTTTCTTCTTTATTTGAAGTATATTCTTTCTCCTTCATTTTTTTTTCTTTTTTTCTTTTTCTTTCTGTCTCCTATAGAAATAACTAATTCTTTTTTTTTATTTTGTTAGAATTCCCTTATGGAAAATCATTCTTTAATTTGTAGTTGTAACACATGGGGTATCAGAAAGATTTTTCTTCGAGATGGTAAAACGTTTCTTAGATTTCATGAAAAAAATTTTCTAATCTTCGTTTTCTCTCTCTCTCTCTCTCTTCAATCAACGAAGTCAACGCATTTCGATCACATTTATTCACAAAGTAAGAAAGTAGAAGATACGTCAGTATTCTCATAGATTCTATCAATAATTTTGATATCGACGATTCTTCGATCTCTTCGGTAATGAAAGCTACCGTTATTATTTTTCCAATATGCTTCTATGCTAAGATATTATGATACGTAAACTGTGTCGACCCGATTTTCATTCGCGCAGTTACATTCACTCATATTTCTTTTATGCATCAACGAAAAACATGCATCAACTTGATCGAAAACTTTTTCTTTTTACGAAATGTAGATGTATTATTATTTGCAAAGAAAAATACTTTATCTACTCGATACAAAAGTGAAGAAATTAGATCTACGATCAATTTTTTTTTTAATAATACATTGTATATTATTTTCTATTTAACTTAATAATTCAATAGTTTGGTATTAAATTAAATCAAAGTATTTTAAAACAAAGTTATAGTAACGTGTAAGCTGAGGGCACCTCCAGTTTTGTAGTAAATTATAACAATATACAAAATGATACCACAATTAAAAAATGTAAAAAGTAAGGTTAGTTATGTCTTATATAAATCTGAAGAAAACGTCAAATAATTGAATTGTAATACACCGCCATCTATTGAAGACTAGGATGCTCCGGGCATGCGTTTGCTGTTTGTGTGCTTGTTATAACATAAAATGTTGATTTAATATAATTTTAAACTATTTAGTAAATTATAACAATACGCAAAATAATACCATAATTAAAATTGAATACATAAAATAATAATACATGAAAAAATATAAAAAGCAAGGTTAGTTATGTAAATCTAAAGAAAACGTGAAATAATTGAATTGTATTACAGCGCCACCAATTGAAAACTTACAGTACTTAGGGACTTAGATAACATTTATATAATAAATCCTTAAATTAGAAATAAAAAATAGAAAATAATTGCGATATAAAAACTATCCTATATTCCAAAAATCACCCAAAATAATAAAAGATTTTATTAAGATTGGTTAAATAGTTTTGGAATCCATAAAAAAAACAATGTGGCACTGAATTGTTATATATAAAGATTAATTTGACCTACTATTAACCAAAAATATCGCAAACAAATCGTTTAAAACAATTATAATTATTTCTAGTAAAATTAACAAATTTCTTTATTAATTTATTGTCATAAATATAGTGTTTTAAATCTAACCTCTTGTATCAAAGATAGAACATGAACAAAATTCGTATAGATCAAGAATGTTAATTCTAACTTTTATTATACGAATATACACAGACAGAAAGAAAGAAAAAAAGAAAAAAAAACAGAAAGAAAAGAAAAAAAAAGAGTAAGTAGTCGAAGAAAGAAAATTCAACGAGCCAAGCTTACGGATCGCCAACGGTCCATCATTTGGTCGACAGTATCTCTTGGATCTGATCTCGCAGAGACTGATTTATTCTACTTGGAAAGTATCTATAAGTAGGTATCTATCTCCGTTAAAAGATAAGATGTAAGAGAAAGAGAGTAGGGGGTGGTTCACGTTAAAGAGAGAGAAAGAGAGAAAGTACGTTAAGGGGGTAGGAGGAAGTTGCAGGCACCGATCTACTGCGTTTAGGTCGTAAGTCATGCTGATGGGACGGTTCAATAATTAAGTTCGTTGAGGAAATCGGTTATCGAGAGACGATATTATTCGCCGTCGTCTCTTACTTTCCGGTAATAACTGCTAACTTAGACCGCGCACGTCGAACCCATTGGCTTCGTTCGTTCGTTCGTTCGTTCGTTCATCGTCATCGTCTTAGCTGGGATTCAATTTAGATGTAAAATTTACTTGGGGTATACTCCAGTTGCACTTATTCACCTGCTCGCTCATCCCTTCTTCTTAGTTTCTCTTCTCATTTCTTCTATGTCTCAGTTTGTCTCTTACCATTCCCTTTTTCTCCTTTTTGGTTCGACGAAATTCACATTATTATAATAGAAGGTCGGTAATGGTTCGAAAATAAAGAGCTCCGATAGGTGGGAAAAGTAAACTGGGGATGGTTTTCCTCTTTTCTTTTTTGTTTTTTAGGTAAAACGAGCCGAAGGAACGCGTACTTCTCGTAAAATTCTGTCTTTATCGTTGCGGTGGTCGACAAAACCCTACTCCTACTATTCCTCCTTCTCCTCTTTTACCAACGGAAAGGTCCATGTCGATGGAAATTTGTTTTTTCTATTCAAAAAGAATTCAATCGATTTTCAACTCGTTGGATACATTTTATCGATAAGATACACTTTTCAACACATATCCTTTCACTTATTCATTAGTTGTTTGTTCTCCTTCAAATAATTTAGCCAACTTATTAAAAATAATATATATTATTTGTTATATATATTTGTCATTGTGTTTAACATGTTTCTTTGCCAAACCACTGCCAAGTTCAGGTCATTTAACTGATCATTTAACTGATTTAGTATATACTAAAACTAATATACTATATTAATTATAAATATAATTATTTATTTATAATTTGTAAATGTACATTTTAATGGACATATGGTTCTTACGCAAAATTTGTAACATTTAAGAAAATTCTGAAAAATATATGCACATTGTAATGTACATACTACTTTATGTGCATTACAATGTGCATAGGGTCTGAAGGGTTTAAATAAATATGTCTAATGAGTGTACCACCGGTGGTACACGTGGCACAAAACATGTTAATAATAAACCGTTTTCTTAATTATTTTTTAATGTTTTAATTATTTTTCTTGTTTACAGCATCACTGCCGTCACTGTGGAAATATATTTTGCAAGAACTGTAGCGACAATTCAATGTCATTGACTGACAATTCTAAACAAGTACGAGTATGCGACGAGTGTTACGTTTTGTTGGTTGGTCGATACTCCGTTATGCTTTAACGCGTCTACTTCATTTTACGAGATTATCGAAGGTGTAAAATGGAAGGAAGAAGAACAAGAGAAAAAGAAAGAGAAGAAAAAGAAAAAGATAAAGAAAAATATAAAACGCGAAGAAAGGAGAACCGGAAGGAAATATCATAGGAAGAGAATGGTGGTAGGGTGAGGAGAGGGGATCTCTGATGGAATAAGACGCCGCCTTTTACCATCTCAACCCATTTTCATTGTCTATTCTTCTCACGCATTTTGACGGACGAAAAAGTAGGAATTCGAGAACTTTGCTTCTTGATATTTTCTAACGTTTACTTTTCTACCCCTTTCTCCCATCCCCCTCTCTCTCTCTCCCGCCCCTTTTTTGTTCGGGGAAACTTTTTCTTATACAAGTATAATACTTTTCTAACCGAGTAAACCGGGTTGTAACAAATTTTCTACAATTTTCGTCTATCTACCAAGCCGATTCTTTCTATATTTTTTTTCTACCCCCTCCCCTCCCCTCTCCCCTCTCCCCCATCTCTCTATCTTTGTCTCTCTGTCTTTATATTTTCTATCAATTGATATTGTGTTTTTATTTCTTATTTTTGTTGTTTTGTTTCTTTTTTCACTACATGGAAAAATATGTTACTGAGACAGAGAGAGAGAGAGAGATAGAAAAATTTTGTTCGAGCTCATCGCACAATTTCTCTTATGATTTCAAAACGATCCTGGGTTGCACGCGTGGCTGCGTTTCGAAACTTCGACTCTTGCGTTTCACGTACTTTTTCTCCCACGTACTTTTATCCTCATCCTCCTCTCCCCTTGTTTTTTCTTCTCTTTTTGTTAAACCCTTCTCTCTTCTTTCTACGTATTATCTTCTCGTATAACAAAAAACAAAAAAAAAAAGAAAAACACCACCCACCCGTATCTCCTCTCTTCGTTTAATACGTTTATATTATATTCTATATGCACTCGAGATATTTTTGCACTGATATTCGTCCGTTATTTACATTGAGCCCACCTGATCCCCAACTATTGGACACCCTTTGTTTATGTTCGTGCTCTGACACAATTCTATGATACTCACTCAATGAAGAAAAATTTGTGGAAAAATTGCGGAGCCTAGAAATGTTATGCGTATATCATCGCGGCTTTGCTACGCGTTGTTCGTGCCTGTACAACGATATTAAAAAAAAAAAAAAAAAAAAAGCGTTTTGTAGCCTTTACGATAAGAAAAACAAAACAAAACAAAACAAAGATGATATTATATACGTCAAATAAAAAAATATGCTGTTTTCATAAAACCAAAACTGTCTATTGTCTTTTGGATAGTTTGAGTTAACGATCATTCTCCTCTACCTGTTTTTATAGAACGTTTCTATTCACTGTTAGAATGTTTTTTCGGTTTTGGGGGTAATATTGAAGACGGGGTGATAAAACGAGTGTTGGGATTTAAATAGAATCGAATCTCTCTTTCCATTTGGTATAACGTGAGAGAACCATCAACGATGACCGTAAGTCGATATCCAATAGAATTGTGAATACCTCTCTTCGTTCTAGACGAAAGGATTAACTTCACGGTCTGTGTGGATACGAAAGCAACCGATTCAGTTGGTAAGTACGAACATTGAATGAGGAAATGAGAGAAAGAGAGAGAGAGAGAGAGAGAGAGAGAGAAAATGAATTTCTTGGAGAAAGGAAACCCCTCGTGCCCGAAGAAAATGCCAAGTATAATGTGTAATCTAGGTAACGGAATGTAAATCCCTTCTTCTTCTCTCACACGCGTTCCCTTTAATCTGCTAAGCTGAGAACCACACGCCATTCTATCGACTTCAACTGGAAACTTTCGAGGCCCATTGCAAAATGTTAACTTCCGAAAAACACGCGCCATTCTTAGTTTTCCTTTCGAATGCGTTAACGATACTTATATCAGAAATGTCAAGTGGTTTTATTTTTTAAACTTAATATTATAAATTTATTCTTTTATTAATTAAGAACAAAAAGTAATAACATTTCTAATTTGATTTACGAATTTTTACGATTTACGTTTTGTGCAAGGTAAGTGTTACGAATTGTTACGTTTTGTAAACTTTGCGAATTATTTTCTAATTGATTCATATATATAAAATAAATGTTTAATTATGAATGCAAAATAATATATTTGATATAATATATATATAATAACTAATAATTAAATAATTAATAATTAAATATTAAATAATAAATATATAATTAAAAACATATTTTATATAATATATAAATATATTATATTATATTATATAATATATAATAATATATATATAATATTATATGATTATATACTAATAATTTTAACTATAATTAATATCATTTTTTATATTTATTAATATTTTCAATTATATAAATTATATTATTTTTATATATCTATATATATTATTAACTATATATTATATAATATTTTATTAAATAAATATATAATGCCTATAAATTATTAATTATAATTAATATATTATTAATATATATTTATTATAATATATTTTAATTATTAATATTAATAAATATATATAATATATAAAATATTTTCTTTTAGGTTGTAATAATGTTGCACTTATAATTTCTAATATGTTGTTAAACCCTAATAATAGATACTACCTTGTATATAATATTATAATAATTAATTAAATAATTATCAGAAAATTATTTTAATTAATATTTTTACTAAATTTTAAGATAATTAAATATTTATGCTCCGCCACGCGTTACTGTTGCTCATGTGAGCCAAAATATATCGTTGTTTATAGATAAACGTTAGGTTATGTTCAAATCTTTCGTACACTCATCAAAATCTATGACCAACAGATGGCACTGGACTTACATATATCTTTTTCTTATTTTTTTTTAAATTAATTAATTATTTTATAAATAAATGAATGTAATAATAACCTAGCTTTATGCCAATGCAACATTGTGCCAAAATTTTAGTAAAGTACTTTTGGAGATTAGCGATTATTCACAAACGAAATCAACATTTTTGTAAATATAGATTTATTATAATTATATAAAAATACTTATACTAAATTATTAATTAATAATTTTTTCATTTTGCTATAAAAACATATTGCAAAAAAGAAAATTCTTATCCTCATACACGTATCACAAATAAACTACATACTAATAATCATCACATCGATAGGAATACATTCCTAATTTAGGTATGCAATAAAAATATTTTCAAAAGAATAAAAAATAAGAATTTCAAGAATATAAGTTGACGTAGAACTGTTAAGGAACGTTCCGAATCAAAGCATTCTCGTTTTAATGTGAGAAGCGCGAGCAGGAATCTTGCCTCAGCGTTGCACGAGTAGCCACGGAACCCGACCGCGATAAGTTTCCAACCTGTTTTGGGTTGGTTGTGGGCGCGCGACCGCTCGTAGGCCAACTTGTCAGCTATCTACGACTTTCGAAAGCTCGTTAGCCGCGAACGTGCACGCTTAAACGGATGCTAAATTGAAATCGATCCTAGGTGCCTTGCCTTCGGTTTCAAAAGCACCCTTCTCTCCGTTCCCTCCTCCTCCAAAACCTCTCCCATTCCTTACTAACCTTCTCTTCCATACCTCTATCTCTTTTACCCTAACATTGTTCTTCCTTATTCAAGCATGTAAAGGTGAGTTAGACTCGGGTGTACCTAGCACGAGAAGGCAACTGTATGCACGCGACGGGATTTCCCCTACCCCCTTTTTTACACAGAAATCATCCCTTAAACGATTCGCGTGTACGGGGGTATGATGCAAAGTGTTTTACGAAAACGAATTTCGTTCGATTCGTTTTGATTAAAAAAAAAAACACGAATTTTACATTTTTCGATTTATCTCATTGATTGTTGTTTTTTTTTTTTTTTACAAATCAAATACAGATTTTGTGTTAATATGTTGGTATGTGTGTGTATGATATAATAGGGCTTATAGAATAACTAAGTATTTTCACTAATTACGAAGGATCGATCTGTTAATAGTCAGCTTTTCCACGCTAATAGGTGGTTTAACATGGAGGAGGAAAGCACACGTAGAATTTTCCCTTTTGAATAATCTAATCGATTGGGATGGCATGCGTATAATAGGTATAAAAGGAAGGTTGTTGGCGCGTAATAACATCCGACCGGAGGTGCGATTTCATCGGGTGCCACTCGGATACACTGAAAATTGTAGGTAGAAATGGCGTAGGTAGAAATTAGCACGCGAACTCTTATTGCAAAAGCTTTAAGAGTTAAGAGAAGTATTTTGGAATATTTCAAACGTACACGTTGGACCACCCCTCCTCACCCCCACGCATCAAATAATCAAATTTTTTTGACATTTCTTTTTTTTTTTTTGGCTCTGGGCCGACTCTGTTCGTTGATTTTTTTTTTTTATACGTTACTTTTATATTCATTCTCGGTTCGGGGATTTTTTTTTTTTTACGCCAGAGGTTTTGTCTTTTCATTTATTTATTATTTTTTTTGAAGAGGCGAGGGGTCAGAGAGGGGGGAGGTCCTTTCCTTCTTTTTTTTTTTTTACTTTTCGATTTTGCTTTTTATTTGACTTTTCCACAAAACGGCTGGTAGGAAAAAAGCAGAGAACATAATCTCGTAACACGATGGACCGTAAAAAGCGGTGATGGTGGAGTCCGCGCCAAGATCAGCGATGCGTAGCCACTTCCGAGTTTAGCAAAGCACAATGAAAAAGCGCGAAACGAACGACATTCAACGAGGCGACGTACGTGAGTGTGCGTATCATGGATACGCAAACCTCTACTCATTCCTTTTCTCTCTTTTTTTCTCTCTCTATATATAGATGTATATATATATGTATATAACGTAAAAAATGGACTATTCGGTGATGTAGCGAGCCGTAGCAAGTCATACAAAGTAGCGAAAACAAATGATTGTTTTCCGTCGTGTTTTCAAACGTCCCTTCCTATCGATCCCCGTTTACCCCCTCATCATTCTTTTTGTTAGTTATTCTCAACGATTTTTTTAGATTTATTATATTAACTGTACGAACAAATTTGAAATAACAATTAAAGATTAATTGTTAATAAAAATGATAATAAATTGTAACAAAAATCATGTGTAAAATGTAGACAAAGTTTGAATTTAAGAAAAAAAAGATATCGTAAAATTGTACATTTGAGTTTGGTACGTACGTTTTTCGTTAGTATCGTGGAAACATCAATTAGGTCGACGAGTTGCCTATGGTTCGACCAACCACGAAGCGACGTTGTTTAATCGTACCGGTGATATTTCACGACATTGGGTCATCATTTGTGGCGTTGTCGTTCCACTGACGAAACGGTACGCGGTATATCGGTACACGTATTTATCGGCATAACGATTCGTTTCCCCTAACTTACGATTTTAAAGCAATCCCGACGTATTCCATATCGTTGAAATAAGTTCTGACGTTCTGCGAATAATATTTTAAGCTCAATATTTTTTTTAAGCTTATGAAGAAGACTCATGGAATTGAATTCCCAAGGCTTATTTTATGATTTTTGTCAA